TAGGACCTTGTGACAGCCACTGTCATCTGCCATACATCTACACATTGTCCTTGCAGTGAAGCGGGTTTGGGAAATCTTTGCCCTTAACACATTCTCACAAGCCAATCCCACCTAGGACCAGTCTGATAACATTGCTAAGGCAGTCTGATGGGCTAGTCCTGGTACTGCCCTGGCCGCATGCTGTGGCTGTTTATCTTGTGCCTTCTCTGCATTGCATCTGTGATCATTTGGTTTTGTCATGAGCAGGGAGCTAACCTAGCAGGAAATAACTCAGTTTGTAGAGCTAAGCTTTTCTGCTCCCTTAGTTGCCCAAACCAGGTCTCCACGGGTCATTGCAGGATCACAATGCAAGAAGCAAGAAAGGAACAATGGGGTAGGAAATTGCACCTTTTGGTGTTCATCAAGTTGCACTGTAAGTAGTGCTATTACCACTATTTCAGGGGTCCTAAAGTAAACCCAGTCACCAAAATCATCCAGGTTCAAAAAAAATAAAAAATAAAAAATAAAAAAATAAACAGATCCAGTAAAATACCCTCTCTCTCTCATCTAGAACCTTCCAGTTATCTGGTTTCTATCACAGCCTGGTAGGCTGCTGGCACAACAGGGGCATTAATGGTGTAGAAACATGTGCAGAAACCCATCAGCACATCAGGGGACTGCTACTAAGTCAGTGCTGCAGAGCTTTGGCAGGTGGCTCACAGGCTCAAGAAAATGTTGGTTTCCACTTGGGGTGGGAGCTGAGTGTTGCACTACAAGACCTATAGTTCTGGAATCAGTCCTCCCTCCAAAATAAACAATTCTATCCCAGTTCAACCCAAAATGAGCAAGTGGGGAAAAGAAAAACATTAATAAGCTTCAGTGCAGGGAACCTCTTTGTCATATATGTCATACTTGTCATGTATTCAAAGGTGAAAATGCTGGGGTGGGGAATCAAAGCCCATGGCTCTGCTAGTGATTTTACACACCAGTCTGCAGTGCAGCACTTATTTTCTTTCAATTCTCTAAGCTACTCAAAGTATTGGCTAGCTCCTTGACTTTGCATGTTTTTTTCTTGAGTCATGTATATATTAAAAAAAAAGGAGCAGAATTAAAACATGTGTCATCTAAAAGTGATGAAAGGTTACAAGGGATGTAGGTCCAGAGAGATCCAGACCCATGTGCAGACTCCAGCCTTCCAGTAACTTCTTTGCAGAGGCCTCGCTAAGGGCAAACAAGTGCAAATGGAGTTTAGCCACCTTGGATTTAGCATTTACCCAGTTCTTACAGATACCAGACAGCAAACTACCGCTGCGCTGCCGCACCTCTCCACAGCTGCTGGAAATGGGTGGCCGTTTACACGAGGTGAAATTGCTCAGCTCTTATTTCAAGGCCCAATCCAAACTGCAGTGGAGGCTTTTTCATCTCCCTCTCATAAAGCTCACTTCTAACACGCTAATGACATGTAGCCTAGCTGACATGAGAGATGGAATTCTTCCAAAATATATTTTGTTTCCTGTCAGAAAGCATTGCGTGCCTTTGCCCAGGAAATTATAAAACAGAAAATAAACATGTAAATATACCATTTCAACACATCCTCTACATCAAAGCTTGTTTTTAATGTTTTTAATTTCAGCTTTTTGAGGTTTTGTTTTTATAAGTTGCTGAATTTATTTTGTAGCTCCTGTTTATAAAAGAACTTTTAAAGAGTTACAAGTTACATTTATCAAATCAAGAAAAACTACAACTATAAAGTTCTCCAAAAGGCAAATAATGTGAACCCTGCAAGTGCACGCATGCAGACACACACACACAAACTTCTATATGCGTAAGGTTACTGGCTGATGAACCACAGACCACATGCAGAAGAGTAAAAACCACCCATAACCAGATGTGCCACTGTAAATCTCATATTTTAGACTATATGCTATGAACATGCAGGAAGACACAAGTTCCCACAGTATTAGTAGCAGCAATAGGGATTCCTAGAATCACCCGTTACCTTCCGGTACCTAAAAATAGCCCAACTTCCCAGAGGAAGGTACTGCCCTTGTGAAATATATGGAGGGCTTATTGGGGCATGATTTTGAAAAATATCCAGCACAACATAGACACGCGAATGGCAGTAACACATCACATCAAACCTCCCTAAAACCAAAGACAGAATTTCACCCTTTCCCACGGAGTTTTGCGTAAATACAAATGAATGCTGTACTTAGACTGAATGAAGCAGTGCATGACTTGCAGAGCCATGCAGAGCCACCGCTTCGTTAGGAAACAGCAGCCTCAGGTTATATTTGAATTTTCCTATGGTAGGGAAGGGTAGTGGTGGGTCATTGTAGCAAAGTGCTTCAGTTCTCTGCCCTATCCACAGCTGAATAGGAAACCCCAATTCAAAAGTTTCCTTCAAGCTATAAAAATAAAACAAAGTTTATTCCAGGGATTAGGGAAAAACGCATTTCCAAAGTCCCTATTCAGCTACAAATACGCTATATAAGACCAAATACTTTTTTTTTTACCTCAGAATATCTCTCACTGATCTGGTAGAGCAAAGTTTGTTGATATTCAGGGTTGCAAAGCCATCTGTTTACTCAGGCTTTTGTCTGTCAGCATAGTTTGAAGAGGTCGCTTTTAGAGATCAATTTTTTTTTCCTGGGGGTTTCTTCAGAGCTACCACAATTTGTTATTGCGTCTGTTTAGAGGCTTTAATTTGTGGTTTTCAAGATTGCATAACTGCACAGAGAGGTGGTGAGAGGCCCACATGAAGAGTTCAAAATAAGTTTGACAATATAGTAAATATCTACTCAGTAATTTTCCCTGGACTGAGCACTACAGAATGCCAAAAAAGTTATTAGTCAGGCTAGTGTATGAACGTGTCATTATGAGGACCAGAGCATATATTTCCATTCAGATACTACAACACTGAATTCACTCTACTCGCTGTTGACACCAGCTGATCCATGATCCATGGGGGGCTGCAACCCAACTGCCTACTTAGATTGTTCTAAAAGAGTCTGTTTTGAACCAGATATAGAAAAAAAATAAAACGAGATTTTAATTGTGCCTTTTATTCAGGGTTCTCATAATAAGTTACATAAAAAATGAAGTAAGCCGCCTGGACTCCCAGGAGGAGGCTCAGCATTAGTTTTTCCATTTTGCAGATGTCAGATGGGAGGCGCAGAGACGTGCACAGCCACGTCTGAAGAAGTGCTCGCTGCACCCGGGACAGGTTGCAGGTCCTGTGAGTCACTAGGAATCTGTAGCCAGATACCTGGCATTGACCACATGCAGAAACAGGGCTCTGATATGCACATTGCATTCGTGGGATGTGCATCCCCAGGGTCCAGGCAGCAGGCACCTGTGTGCGCGCTGCTACAGCAGTTCCTGAATGCCTGAGTCACGCCTGCATAGCAGAGGGCAGCACTGGGCATTTTGGGCAACCCTAACAGCCCTTTCTGAAGAAGTTGGTGAGGAAATGATGTTCATGCCACAAGCTGGGAACCCTGCATCAATGGAGTGGCAAGGCTGTGAACAGAAACGTCGGTTTTTGCCTAGGATTGTGTCTAGACACCAAACTAGATTTAAGCCACATACCTCTAGTACAGGTCTCCATCTAGCCCAGCAAGAAGGAATTTATGGGCTATAAATTCCTCCTGCCCGGGTGAAGGCTGGAGGCAGCTAGTCTGTGCTCGCCTCTGCGTACTGCAAGTATTTCACGGCCAGTAACACAGCCCTCAACCCTAAAACTGGCATTCATGTGTCTGCTCCGTGGACATGACACATGGGTCCACCTGACGTTGCCCACGACGTGCCTCGCCACCCCACTGCATGAGGACTTCACTAGGCCCATGACGCGAGGGGCTGGGATTTCTACTTCGCAGGACAACACAACACAATACTGCTGCCTCCTCCTGGGTCGCTGCAGGGGGGCACCGAGGCTTCCAGCTCACCTGGGTGCAGTGGGCGACACAGTGGGGGCCATGCCCAGCTGTCCCCACTGCCGACGGGAGGGGTTCCTGGGGACAAGCCCAGAGGACAGGACGGGACGGGACGGGACGGGACGGGACGGGACGGGACGGGACGGGAGGGGACGGGACGGGACGGGAGTGCAGCCCCGGGACCGCTACTCCGGCCCCATCCAGGCCGCCGTCGAGCTCTCCCGACGGCCTCCCCGCGGCACGGCCCGGCCCCGCCTTCACACCCGGCCGGCCCCGCCGGGCAGCGGACACCCGGGGGCCGGGGGGGGGGGGGAGCGGCAGGGCCCGGCGGCTCCCCCCCTCCGCCGCCACCAGCACCGGCACGGCCGCCGCCGCTTCTCGGGCAACAGCTCCCCTTAGCGGCCGCAGCGCCGCCCGCCGCCCGCCCCTCCTCCGCCGCGGGGCAGCGCCCGCCGGCCGGAGCCCACCTGGCACCCCCCGAGCCCCGCCGCGGGGCCGGGGCAGCGCCCGCCGCCCGCCCCGTCCCGTCCCGTCCCGTGCTCCCCGTCCGTCCCGTCCCGTCCCGTCCCGCCCCGCCGCGGGAGGACGCGGGCGGGGCCGCGGGTTCGAGCCCCGGTGCCCCCGGTGCCCGGTTGTGGTTGTGCCCGCTTGTGGCCGTGCCCGCGTGTGGCTGTGCCCGGTTACGACTGTGCCCGGGCCAGGGGCTGAGGAGCGGGGAGGGACGCGGCGCGGAGCGGGCGGCCCGTCCCTGTCACCTGCGGGCGCCGCCGGGACGGCGCTGCCCCGGCCCCGCTCCTGAGCGGCCTCGGCCCCGCTGTCGGGGCGGGGGGGCGGCTCGGGCTGCGCCTGTTGCATTGTCCCTGGCGGGGCTGGCAGCGAGCGGCCGCCGCTATCTGCGGCCGGGGACCCCGGCCGTGCCCTATCGCGGACTCTCTGCTGGGGCCTGATAGCGGCTGCTCCCTGCTCGGCTGCACGTCCCCTCGCAGCTCCCGCCGGGGCTCTCTCCCCCTTTGTCTGTGTATTTTTAGGTCATTAGAGTGGAGGGGTAGGTAATCCCCAGGCTCAAGTTCCAGAGGGGCGGGTTCTGGCCGGAGGTGGAGTCACTTTTCATTTAAATCCCTGACTATAAAATGGGCTTAAAGAGAAGCGGGATCTCAGCCGTGCCGCGCAGACCCCGGCAAGCAGGGTACGTGGGGGCCCCCGGGCAGCCGGCGCCCCGCAACACCAGCCGCGGCGATGCTCCACTCCCTCGGCGTTCACACCTTGCAGCTGCTCACCCAGGCGGCCGCCTGCATCCTCCTCTTCCCCCGCTTCCTGCTCACCGCCGTGATGCTCTGGCTCCTGGATTTTCTGTGCATTAGGAAGAAGATGCTGCTGATGCCCACGGCGGAGGAGGTGGCCAGAGCCAGCGAGGGGCCGCCCCCCGACGACCCCCCAGTCTGCGTGTCCGACTCCAACCGCATGTTCACGCTGGAGTCGCTGAAAGCCGTGTGGCACGGGCAGAAGCTGGACTTCTTCAAGTCGGCGCACGTGGGCTCCTTGGCCCCCAACCCCGAGGTGATCCAGCTGGACGGGCAGAAGAGGCTCCGCATCCTGGACTTCGCCCGCGGCAAGAGACCCCTCATCCTCAACTTCGGCAGCTGCACCTGACCCCCGTTCATGGCCCGCCTCCGGTCCTTCCAGCGCCTGGTCGCGCACTTCGTGGACATTGCCGACTTCCTGCTGGTGTACATCGAAGAAGCACACCCCTCCGACGGCTGGGTCAGCTCGGACGCAGCCTACAACATCCCCAAACACCAGTGCCTCCAGGACAGGCTGCGGGCAGCTCAGCTGATGAGGGAAGGGGCGCCCGATTGCCCCCTGGCCGTGGACACCATGGACAATGCTTCCAGCGCCGCCTACGGTGCCTACTTCGAGAGGCTCTACATCATCCAGGAGGAGAAGGTGATGTACCAGGGAGGCAGAGGACCAGAGGGCTACAAGATCTCGGAGCTGAGAAGCTGGCTAGACCAATACAAAACCCGGCTCCAGAGCCCCAGCACGGTGGTCATCCAAGTGTAAAAAGGACCTGGCAAAAGGCGCAGAGGCGGAGAGGGGAGGGGAGGGCGGGAGGAGAGGTGGCGAGGGAGAAGGCACCGCGACGCGGATGGCAGGAGCCCTCCTCCCCGGGGACACTCGAAGGAGGCTGCCGTGCGAGCTTTCGAGCAAGATGTGCCATAGTCCTTTCTCTATTCAAATCATGTTGATTTGCCAGCCACGCTCTGTCGATACTGTATTTCCATGTGCGTTTTGTAAATAACTCTTCTTTTTTTTTTTTTTTCTTTTATTTGGAGAAGCGTTTACTAATTTTTAAGGAGGCTCTCTTCCTTCGGGATCTGTTCCCAGCTGCGTGTGTGCGCGGGTGTGTGTCTGAAAAGTTGTGTACAAGTGCTCCGTGCTGCCTAGCAAGTGCTAACTGGGATTTCTAGTATTTCTTTGTGATGACCGATTTTGAAATGGGTTTCTCTAATGCCAGGAAATCGTGTCTGATGTTGTCAAATGCTAGAACTGCCAATAGCCAGAGCTGAACGGAATGTCCTATTTATGGGGGGGTTTTGTAAGACGTTCGTTCACCTTTTTTTTTATGAATTTTTTTAAATAATAAAGGTTGAGTAAATACACGTCTAACCTTGCCCGTCTCTCTCTATCTCGCTCCAGAGCGCCACATTCACTTTCCCTTTTGCCTACCTTGTAGCGTCCTCTTCGCGGCTGAGGAGGGGAAGGCGAAGCGGCAGGAGGGAGAGGATGCGCAGCTGGGGGCGGCGAGCAGGGCTGCGGCAAGACCCGAAGGAGAAGGGGGGCACTGAGGGTCCCCAGGGGAAAAACACACCTCCGGGGCTCCCGCGGGAGGGGGAACGAAGCTGGCCCTTAAACCCAGCCCCGGGGGACTGCGCGCCCCCGCTCTCACCCCTCTGAGCCGCCCCGCGGGGTTGCGCCCAGGGAGAGCGAAGGTGCAGAGGTGAACCTCGGCCAAAACAAGTGAACCTCAGCCAAAACTCCGGAGGGGGAAAGCCGCCCCAGCAGGGTGAGCCGCCCCGTCGAGGACGCCCCGTCGCGAGCGCGCAGGCGGCTCCGAGGTGCCGGTGCCTCCCCCCTGGTTGGGAGCGGGCGCGACCGCACCTGAGGCCAGGCGGGACCGGCCCCGCGGGGCTCGGGCAGAGGGGCTGGGGGCTCGGCCCCCCGGGGGGCGCGCTTCCAGAGGGAGAGGCAGCGGGGGGCAGCCGGAGTTGGCCTCCAGGTGATGGCGAGCGCGGAGAGCATCCTGAGAGCCCCGCCGAGGCCGCCCGGGAGCCGCCAGGCACCTCCCGTTGTGCCTTAGGGCAGTGGCACGACGGGGCGGCCCCGGCGGGGCTGTCCTCCCCAGCGAGCTTCGGCAGGGGGCTCGCAGCCCGCGTTGGAGAGGCGGGGGCCGAGAGGCCCCCAAGGGACCCACGAGTCCCCCTGGATCTTTTAGGACAAGGAGTCCCGTCGAGCCCCGACGGCACGCCTCTCAGCCTCCCCGACGCCAAGCTCTGCGCCCTCTCCGGTGCCCCGGAGCCCAGGGGAAGCCTCGGGAGCATCCCCAGCGGCGGGGCGGCAGTAGCGGCACCCCGGCTCCGCTCCTCCAGGGGCTCATCCCTGCGGGCTCCGCACCCCGGGGTCGGGGGGGAGGCGTCGGTGGCCGAGCGGCTCCCAGCGGCCGGGCCGGGCGGCACCTTGCGGCGGGGGTGCCCCAGTTCCCCTCCTCCGGCCCCACGAGGGACCGGGCCAGCTCTTTTCGCCAGCCCCGGCTTTGCAAGCATCTGCCCGGCGCGGCACAATCTCGGCTGCCTCTTACATAAGGATGGAGCCGCTCCGCCGCCTTCACACGGGCTTCCTGCCGCGGGAGGAACCCAAGTCGGTTGGGGCGATGCGAAAGGCACCGGAGGAGACCGGAGGAGCCCAGGGCAGCGGGCCCGCAGCAGGTGGAGGTCCTGGGGAGCTCCGCCAGCCCCGGGGCCGCTGCTTCTCCCCGCCACCCCCCCGATGCCACCGTGCCCCGGCCCCCTTTCGCCACCCCACAGCCATCCTTTGGGGCAGGTGCCCGTGGGGACCCACGCAAAACCCGGGGCTGTCTCCTCCAGTCCGGGCACAAGGCTGGCAACAGCCTTTTTTTCTCCACAGCTTTTTCTCCTCGGTTTATAGTAAAGCCCTTCTTTGCTTTTGTCACCTCGCTCTCGCCCTTCCGTGTCCGCTTTTGGCATGATTTGGGTAGGACCCCGAGTTGCGGCTGACCCCCCGGCACGTCCCCACCCGGTCCAGCCCCGGGACATTTTCCAGTCATACGGAAAGAAGAGGTCACTGTCCTTGCCTGGGTTCTTTCTACTAGTGAAAGAAACTCTCGTCTTCACTTTCTGCTACTAGCGGATTTTGGTCAAAGGGTATCGGAGGTCAGGGGTTTTTGTTTGTTTGTTTGTCGTGTTTCTCAATAAGTCAGCTCTCTAAAGCTACATGCCTCCTTTAAACCGAACACAGAGCTCTTATTTATCACTTTGTCTTTAATCAGCATTAGAAGAAGAAAATGCAGTGAAAGCCCAAAACCCCTGAAAGAGATCACACTTCTCTGCACAAATCAAAGTTATCTGCTCCTATTATGCCTTCTATTTAAAATGAATCATGAGCCTCCATCCCAGTGAGCTTCCTCGGGGGTACTTGTTTAGCACAGATTGGAACAATATGCTCTACATCTAAAAAGCCCGGGGTGTCAGAAGCCTCTCCAGCTGATACAGAGTATTGGGAAATATCGTATCTTTAAAACACATTTTTATTGCCTTTCCACCCCTCCACCCCCCCAAGCGCCTGACAAACAGAAGTCAGAGAGCAGGGAAGAGATTTATCAGAGAGAGAGATCTAAGTGGTGATTACGTGTTCTGTCAATAATTAATTGAATTATGTCCTCAGCATAATCGCATGCAGTCCTCAAGCTGGGAGGGGAACAGCAAGAAGGAAGTCGTCGTGTGGTCGGAGGGGGATCTCAGGACATGGTTCCAGTCATTGAAATGTGATGTAACATTGCAGTCTGGTGCATTCTGAGGCACAAATGGGGAAATACAAACGAAACCAACCACTGAAGTATTATTTGCTTTACAACAGACAGGCAGCAAAAGCACTTGTTTTTGTGGCTTTTTTTTCATTAGTTGTTTTCATTACTACTTTTTTTTTTTTTGCTGGTGATTTAAAGGTGTTCAATGATGAACAGACCAGAGATCTTACTCCTCTAACCCATAAACTGTATGTTCTCGGTTTTGTATTGTTCACCACACACTAATTGACTAAATTTGATGTGTCTGATGTTTGAAGTAAACTGGATGAAATTAAAATCAGTCCAGCAAAACATCATGTATCTGATATAAATCCAGAAATGACACATTCAAAGAATCCTGCAAGCAAATTCTTACCCTGACACTAATTTTTCTGTACTTCTTCCAGTCACAAGGGAGATCATCATGTCATTATTAATTTATTATTTACTAAGAGCTGTTAGAGTGCTCTTTTGGTACACAAATGCAAGAAAACAAAGGGCTTGATTCATTTCTCTCGCAAGTTTTGCACTGGTGTAACTTCAATGACACGGGTGTAGTCACTTCAGAACCACCTGGGTGTAATTATGATCAAAATCTGGGCTATTGCACTTCCTTTGCTTTTCTAATGGTTCAAAACCGCTGTTTTTCTACAGCATGCTGCGGAAGACAAGACAGCTGTTTGAAAATAGAGCTCAAAAATCATTCTCAAGTTCCTCCTCACTGAGAGTGCCAGTGTCTTAAATCCTGCCAGCACTTGGGAATGTCAGCATGTTTCCTCACCATCCTGCACCCTCCCTACAGTGTGAGAGTTGTGCACCCCATCGATATGCGCTCCCTCGCACGCGTTAAGGCACATCCTCTCAGTGTCTTGGGATTTAAATCAGGTATCTTTCAGTGTTAAATGACTTTAAGCATCCAGCTGCCAAAAGGAATTTGGCACCTGCGTCCTTCTTTGCAAATTTCTCCTTTCAGACTAATTTTTGATGATGCCTCTTGAAAAGGGGTTCATTTCTGACCTCCGCTTAATTGATTACTCCAAGTATTTCTTGTCTTTGGCCTTCCACCTGCCACTTCAGAGATTTTGGAAGTGGTTTACAGTGGCAAATGCACTAACAATCAATGGCCAAAAACATCCTAACTAGAACAGTGAGCATTATTCAGTACTTTCACATTACTTCATACTTCAGTAATGTGAGAATACCAAGACAAGGTTAAAATACTTCAGCTAATATGTTTTATATAATACTTCTCGGGATCAGAATGTAAAACACTATGTTCACAAGATTAAGGACCCCACAGTCTGGTCCATGGAGCTCCTGAGCCCATCAGACAGAGAAGGTCAGGCCCGTCTTTGTTTCCTCTTTCTTTTCCAAGTTAATAGCTGTGCTCTGACTTCCTCTCTTGTTTATTCCTTGAAAGGGAATTATAAATGAAAACCTACACCTGCAAGCAGGAAGCATTTGCTTCTATTTCCTTTCAAGTAATAAATATCCTCCCATCTTGACAGGACCTTTAAGATGTGGCCAGATGGGGCGAGGTAGCTCAGCCTCCTACACATCATTCTCCAAGTGCCCGGAAATATCCTGGCACAGAGGTATACCCTGAGTGCCCAACAAAGACAACAGCAAATTGCTGCAGTTCTTACCAGGGACGTTCACAGATGAATTGGGCACAAGGGGCAGAAGGGGATTCCCATAATCAATTATAGAATAATGTGCACTACTCTAATCTATAAACAGATTTAAATTTTACCAAATCTCCTAGAAATGAGAGTAAGGACCATGACAAAGCTTTCTGTCTCTTTTGTTTGTCTTCTCCCTCTCACTTTCTTTGGCTTAGACAGCAACTAGTGCTGGAGCAGTCTGTCTTTCACCAGACTATTACATCCACTCTAAGGCACCCTGGGAGGCATTTTTAGAGTCACATTCCTATTGCCTTGGTGCCTCCAGATTTATTTATTTATTTATTTGTTTGTTTGTTTGTTTGTTTGTTTGTTTATTTAAGAGTCAGTCAGGAGATACATTTCTTGCAGTAGCCAAAACTCTAAATTGAGTATACTGATTCAATCACTTTCAAGTTATCAGGCACAATTCAAATGATGTGCCACACCGCGGAGTTTAAACTAGTTCCCACAGCACAGAATCTCATGTCAGGTATCCTAAATGTGGAAAAATTTCATGTTGAAACATCTTTCAGAGCTTTCTCAGAGCTCATTTAACTTCACAAACATGATCATGCTGAAGATAAAATTAGTGCTGAAGATCTGAGAGTGGAATTAATTCCTAAGAACAAAAATCATTACGTAAACTAAGGATACATTTTAAAACATACATTTATGAAAACTGACATTTTATTACATGAAAAACAAAATTTAGAGGTACATATTATCAATTTTAAAATTGCTATAAGGGAAGTGACCCTTTTAAAAACTGTGGAACCAGGCTGAAGAAAGTCTGGAAGTTGCACAATTCAAAGCAAGAAAAAAATGCTGTTTAGTTTCTTGATCCTGTACCATTTGTGATGAAGGACAATCAGGAAAGAATAGGATGTAAAGCTGTTGTCAACTGGATTTGTAGCACATGGACGTAGAGAACATACTGTGCTACTAATGATTCAGACATATGCATACAATTGCAAACAGAGATCAAAATTAGTCCAAAGTGTTTTTGGAACATTGGAAAGGGAGAGGCAGGGGGTTGTGCATTTTATAGAATTAAATATTTATTTCAAAAAGTGATAATTGTACAAAAATTTAAGCAAGTTACCAAGTTAATTTCTACTTCTTTTCACTCTAAATGGAACACAACCGTTGCACGTATGTCAATGAATCATGAACTGTTCTGGGGAAATACAAAATATTAAATGGAACTCAGCAATCTTGTTTCCTCTGTCTTTATTTTTTTCTTTTAACTGCATATTCCCTTCTCTAGAATGCATACCACTGCACTGATTATGCTAAACTCTGATTTTTTGATGTTCATAGATCTATGATTTTTTTCTTAGTGTTTAGCTGATTGATGTATCTCAGATAATGAATAATCTACCATAACATCAAACAAAGTCAATGGTTAAGGTATTTGTAAGGCTTGGAACCATCCCTCAGAACTAACCAGCAAGACTTCTTCTATTCCCATGAGATGTCTTCACTTTATTCACTAAGCCAAAATATTTCCAGAAATTATCTATTAGTAGGAACAGAACAGAAGAAAAAAGAACAGATCAAGGAAAAAATGTCATTGATCTCACTTTCTGTATTTTTATTGACTGTATTTCAGACCCACTCTCATAAACACAAGAGAGGTTTGAAGAAACTCTGAAGTGATTTACGGGTAGAATTGAAACATACTGGTGTGTAGTATAGAAATACATCTCTATTTCCTAAAGTTGGATAGAAGCTATCCAGAGGGATAAGTATTGGCACTTCTTGCAGACACTGCTGGAAGCTGGAAAGATCTCCCTTGTCTTTTACTACATACATTGCGTTACTATAAACCCGTTTGGGAATCTTTTGTTTGTTAATAAATCTAATCCTTAGGAAAAAGACTTGACAAAAAGGAAAAACAGGCTTTATTTTATATTTCCAGTTATTGTATGCACCCGCTGACTTCCAGAACTGTCAAGGATTTTTTTTCCTACTTTCATAAGACAGTGCCTCATGAATCCGGGAAGGGGATGGGGAAGAAACCATCTAGCAGGTAGGGTCTCTGAGAGACTGCAGTCTGCACTACAAGTGCATGAGACATGGCCCAAGCTGCAGGATGATGAAATGAGGTAGCCAGTTTTCTATTTCCCATGCACAGCACATGACAGTTGACAGATATGTCTGGCTAAGTATTTTCTGTGAACCTGGTGCTATTTTTAATGCCAGGTGAACAATCAGGGCATTCATTGCAATTCCCATGTCATTCATTTTCAGACAAAGATGTGTCATCATTGTAAAATGGAATTTGGGTGGGTTTTTGTTGGAAAAGAAATCAACACTTAAGCCATACTTTTGAGCAAGTCAAAAGACACCCAAGGGTATGATTGCCTTGTATGCTGTTCTTTTTAATAAGGCCAAGGAAAAGCATCACTGGTTGGGATTATAATCAACTGCTGCTTTAATGCAGACAATCGAAGAAGGCTCCTTACTGATGGTCGTAAATTCATTATTAAGGATACCACTCAGAGTCATTTGGCATGACATTTTTTATGCACAGAACAGAAAAGTGCAGTATTAGCTCCCAAGTGATTGGATGAGTTGTACATCCATTAATGGACATATCAGAAAATGTTTCCCAGATTTGACTTATCTCCTACACAAACTCAGAAGATGCAGATTGTCTTGGTGTTGTTTACTCAAATTTTTGGTGCATTTCTTCACTCTGTCCAAGATCCTGTATTTTTGAGAACCTAGCATCATTATGCATTGTAGATTTTACTGCTGACTTTGAGATCACAACAGTCTGGTTGTGTTCACCATGTATTATGAAATCTACAGGATGATGAGAACAACTTAGTTGCACTAATCCTGTATTTGATAAACATTTCTCAGCTCAGTACTTTGAGAAATTAAGGAATTGGTAGAATGTAAATCCAGTAAAACTGGATAAATTTTTGGTTGTGTTTTACCCAGCCAAGTTGCCAGTTCAACATGGCTAAAATCCACAAGTCTTCCATCTGACAATTACAAAATTATTCTAACAAGAATTCATTAAAACATAAACACATTAAAACTAAAAATTTTTTTAAAAATCTATGCTCATATTTTCATCATAGACCACTTTTTTTCATTTAAGATGTTTCATTTCTAAATATACCTAGATTTAGTTTTCCAGAAAAGATATACAAAACAAAGAATGAAAAGTTTCATTTTCTATTTTGGCCAACTCAAGAATCTACATTTTCCTCTTACACAAATTAAATAAAATATATATATTATTCAAATTCCCTGCTCTCTAGTCTTTCTTCCTGTTCAGGAATCATTCATGAACTGGTTATGATCTGTTAATCTATTCTTTATCCACACACTTCATCAATCAAATTACATGAACAAATTTCAGCCAAGAACATATCAACTAATTGTTCATTGAGGCTATTTATTTAACCGTGATATATGACCATCATTTACGTGAACAGCGTCATACTTGTGCCACTGCTGGCTATAAATTTTTTTTTTGAAAGTACCACATATTTCTCAGATGTGGATTTTCAGACAAATAATCATTAAGTCTTTAAAAGTTATACAAAGTTTCTAACCAGTCAGCGGCACTATCCACCTTTAAGCCATTTTCATTTTGTATAAATTCATTCATTTTCAGTTTTGTGAACAAATATATTCTATTTAACTGCATGCACAAGCTATACATAAGTTGGTAGGAGAGACTAGACAATAAGAAGAATCTTTTACAACAAGCAAACAAACGAATGAATAAATGAGCTTAGAGTCCAGTATTTAGACTTCCAGTAGAATTTCTTTCTCCACATAAGTAATAGTGAGAATCCAACCACTCCTGAACTGTCAGATAGTTAGGACACTCGCTTAAAGGAGGAAGCTCTGGTAAAAGTCTAGCTCACATTCCTGGATTTAAACTTGGAATTTCCATATTCTTGACCATGTCATAGCCTATGAACACAAACCATTTCCTTGGAACTTTGGTGGAATATGTTTTGATCAACATTTGTGAAGGATGGCTGGGAAAATATTTTTCACTTTCATTGCAAAGGTACTCATTAAGAGTATAAAACAGGTATGTTATAGTAACAAGCAAAAAATCAGGTGCATGCTTCAGTAATGTGAGGCTACTATTTATTTCCAGATTATTATCATTCTTCTTTATTTTATTCTGACCAGACAGTCTGTTGTGATTTGAAAAACCTTCCCAATGAAAATTTGCTGTTAGCCAATACATTCCCACATAAAATAGCTCTTTCCACAAATGTGAATTCACCAAAAAAAAAAAAAAAAAATCATTGAAAAGCTTCAGGCTAGCCCTAGGATGGACTTTCAGACTTGCATGTAACTGATTGGTCAATATGTTTACATATCTTACCCTGCTGTGCATATGACCAAGCATTGTGTAGGCAGGCATCCTGGCCAATAAAATCTCAAAAAGCAGTGAAACATTCCCATCAATGTAAGCAACAGTTCTCATAAATAATTGTCTTGTCATCTCTCCCCAGGCTCAGTTTCTTTTCTTTCTTTCTCTCCCGCCTGCATTTCCTCAGAGATGTTCTTTCTTCATCAACATAGCCTTGTGTTACTTCTCTGCAGCTCTGCTGCCCTCCATTCTAAAATCTGGCATTACAGTGAAACTTCCAAGAATTCCATTCTCTTAAGCATTATGAGTCACACTGTAGTCTTCAGCAATATTTTTAAAACACCAATGTTTTTTTAATCACTCTTGAGACCCACAGAAGAAAGTAAGGATATTATCTTGCTAACTTACAGTCGTGGTTGTTTTTTCTATTGCCACCCACACTCTCTCATCTTTCTCCAGATACTCTGTTCCAGTCTCTCAATAGTGCAGGCATATGGTATTCAAGCATGCCAGAGTCTGACTTCAAGTTTTAGTCATTTTTTTTTTCCTGTAAAAAGGATGGAAGGACATTAAGCCTATGACCATTTGAGAGCTTTCTTTAAATAAGAAGGTTTTTAGGGTCTATACTTAAATTAAAAATATATACATATACATACCATAAAACTAACAAAGAAATACTAGATCTGAGGAATCATATCTGAATACCAGAAATGCCATGTGTTTGATATGTCAGAGTCGGCACAAAATTCATTGGTGCAACCATGTACATAAGAAGGGAAGAATTATTGCCTCCTCCTTGCAGTGAACTCCAAAAAATCTTTGTAATGGAGGAGCTGGTCATTTTAAAGCTATAGCTGTAAATACTCCTCCTGATAATATAGATTTTTATTTTTCTACTTCAAGAGCTTTCCATTTTAATGAGGAAAAAAGAAACATTGCTAAACTATGGTAACATTATCAGTTCATGTTCTTCGCTTTTGCCTTTCTTTTCTGCATGAAGGATGAGGCAGCTGGTATTACAACAGACTTATTTGAAATTTAGGATGGAAGTCCCGTAAATTGCTGTTATCTGCACTGCAGAAGCTCACATGACACACTGAATAAATATACCTCAAGGTAAGCACATAACACTGGATAATGGGTGTTCAATAAAGAAGATTCCCAAAGACGATAGTTATCTGAGCTTCAGTGGAGAACAGCGTCTTGTATGGAGCACCCAGGGATGCCTGGCTACCCATGACAGCCATTTAAAAATCTGCCAGGAAATGAGAGGAAGAAGAGACCTAGATTTCAAATTACCAGCTGATCATATGAAGAAAGTACATTCTTAGGTCTCAAAAGTTACTGAAAAATGGTCAGTGAATTTGCCTGTGCAAGAGATGGTTGAGAGAACTGTGAAAATAAACATATCATTGAGAAACAGAGGTAGGATGAGTGAGATTTGCTTAAGAAAAGGTGAGAACAGCGTTAAGAGAAATAAAAAAGAATCCATATTAAATAGTAGCATTAATGCAGTAAGCCAGCAAGCTACAAGTGATTAACCCTTCAAAAATCAAACTTAGGTGAGGAACTTTACTCTCTCTCTCTCTTATTTGTCTATATAAAATAAAGCAGAATAACACTGAAACCATTTGTCTTACATACATCTCAAATAGGTCCTTTCTGTTTTGCCACCTCACAGCCAAAAATGTGGAAAAGCTGTTGCTTCGTCTTTTCATTGTCTTTCCTTTTAGTAGGATTTTGCTCCTGCTCTATGTGTCTTTAAGAAATTTTGGCCAATTTTTTCACTTGATTGTACTGATCCTAAGTTTTTGGAGGATGCTGCAGCTACCAGGCCAAGACATTTTAAAATTACTTTAGTCACTGTGGTTTCTTAATATTAAACAGAAAAAGATCAATTTCTAGGAGATTGGGCCAAAATATTAGCACAGTTGCCTGACGTTAAGCTTTTCAATCCATATTTAGTCTCCCTTGTGTCAATTGAGTTCTTATACTTCAGCGACATACATCCATGGATCTCAATGAACATGAGACGTAACCCAGCTAAAATCAAACTATTTATAAGCTCATTATCATTACAGATTCAGGACCCTACTTAAATACAGGTATCCAGTCTTAAGACTGTAGCAGTACCAGGCTAAGATCTTTGGTAACTGCTGGTGTCATTGATCATTCTGGAGATTTCAATTTTTCACTGGAGCTATTGTTACCTAAAAGCCACCTCTTTAAGGCCCTTCTCCATTATTTTATACTACTTGGAAGAAAAAGAATATTGTCTGAATGCCCATCACTGGAATTTAGTACCTTCAGCAGAACAGAATGCAACAGGCACTACAGACAGCTTCTGGTCTGGGCAACAGACATCAGGCTTAGCAAAGAGAATGCCATCAGTCAAAGATCAATAGCTAAAAATTCCAGATTACTCTGAATCATTCTCCTGACTGGCCTTCATACTACCTCTTACTGACTTTTCAGGAATAATTAGAAACAGGCGGCAGTTGCACCATTTCTCTAAGTTTAAAGCAAGCTGAAATTCAGAATTGAGTTGCTACATTTTCAACCACAGAAAATGTCAACTGCACAGGCAATTTTTGTCTGAATTTGCACACACTTTTTTCAGTGCTTCGCTGAAAGAAAAGGCAACTGACACTATATGGAAATATAGCAAATACAGAGTATGAAGCTATGAAAATTAAAACTGTTGTGAAATTTAGAAACGTGACACTGATGTGAATTTGCATGTCTCTAAAACAGATTCTTCTATTACTGGTCCCAGATTCGTATATGCCAGACATAGCTGAGTGAAAGCCAAAGCCTAGATTAATCCACTTTCTATAAAAGTTGCCTGTGTATATATCTGAAAAACACAACACAGAAAACAATATTAGAGAGCTCATAAATAAAATATCATCTAATTAGTTAGCTATAAATATGTGCAGGTTAAGGAACAGACTTACCTTGAAGGATTTTTTGTTTTGTTTTCATGCACAAAATATACATCCAAAATTCAGTTTTCTTTATGAGCGTTATTTAATGAACTCCCTAATGACAATCATTTAGTCATGAAATTATTATTTTGTTCACTCTTTTCTTCTTTTTCTACAATAAAATACCCTCAATACCATTTATGAATAAAGCTAAAATAATACTTAGAGTAATCAAAGGGTAAGCATCCAAAAAATTTAAAAGACAAAGACTGCATATTTTAACAAGATTATCCACACACAGCAATAGGATAGGAGTTACAGCTGTGACGGAGATTTAACTTGGGAAGAATAAATGCAGATTTGCAGATGGAAGTCATGTCTCAGAAATGTATTTTTGAGACAAAAGGCATTTTTAGGAACATGTGGATAAGATGAGCTGGTTACTGCGGTGTTAGAATTCTGTGCTTGGGTACTTGGGGGCATATGATTTGGTTTTCCGTAAAGCTTCACAGACCCTTAACAGAGCAAAGGTATCATCGGCAAGAGAAACAATCCTCTTCTGCATTATCAGCTTTTTCCAAATAAGGACAGAAAGGAAAGATCTAATGGCTGATTTTCTGCAGGGAGGAAGGTTACTAACAAGGAGTTACAAGGTGGTTGCTGGAATCTCTGCTGTTCAGCATGTATTGTGAGTATGAGTCATGAGTAATCTCAAATATGGAATAAATAGAAAGTTTACATATTCTGTTGATGATATGAAATTACAACAGTCAAATATGACATTGCTTGGGGCAAAGTAAGAAAGAATCTCAAACAAAAGGTATGTCCAGCTCTTTGCATGTAATGGCTGTCTGATGTAACCCTGGACAACAAAGTCTAGAGACTTTTTAATAATCTTTAAAAACTATTTCTTTTAATGAATTCATATTAGTGATTCAGAGTATGGTGCTTTTTAGTTTTATTGAAAGTTAGACTACCAAAGTATTTCTGAAATTTTCTTTTGGGAATTAAGCTACTCTGTCTTTACAGTGCTTAAATACAAATTGTTTATTGTGACAGTCTGTGAGGTCAATAAACTATATATTCTCTCACATGGGAAGAAAACCAAGGTAGTGCAGTTAAATGATTTGTACAAAGAACTAAAAATGTGTCAGACAACTCTCAACTAGAAAATTTGCATTGAATCTCTTCTTAAAATAAATTAAATTTCATTTAATCTTTTCTTGACTTAGTGGAAAACACTTCTAAAATGTAGATGTATTTCATTCAGACATTTTTTGAAAGGAAATGTTCAAATTTTCACATTATATTTTATATTAAAAAATTACAAATATTTAAACTGAACATCTCTGTTTTAGCCAAACACCACCATTCAAATTACCCAAAATAACATTAATTTGAATCTTTTTTTCCCCAAGGATGTTCAAAATTTGTCTTTTTGTTCCTGCTTGGGATGGCGTTCTTTTACAAAGTCTTAGTCATTCCCTGAGCAGATTTGCTTCTTCATTACATGCCATGATTTGGTACACTGTTAAGAACTACCTCTGAGGAATTCTTAACATCTTCTGTGTAGAAACAATATCTGTCTAAAAATCATAGACTACATTTTCTGTGTGCAAAGTAGGTCCCTGTTGATTTACATTCCCTGAAGAGCTCCCTCCTTGGAGATCTTCAAAAGCCAGCTGGACACAGTCCTGTGAATCCTGCTCTGGGTATCCCTGCTTGAGCAGGGGGGTGGACCAGGTGGCATCAAGAAGTCCCTGCCAACCTCAACCATTCTGTGATTCTGTGAAATATTATTCATATTTTGATTTAAAAAAATAAAGAGGAAAAAGAATATAAGAATAATTTTTTAAAATTATTCTCCAACAAGGAAACTAAGGATAATATGCCTGAGCAACTACAGCAGCAGAATCTTGCTGGTACAGTTATTTATAACAAGTACTTAATAAAACAGCTAGAAAAAAAATATAAACCAGAAGGAGGACATATGTATCCCCAGATCATAAAGGAATTAGTGAGTTAATTTATGATACTGACAATTATACTGTTATGGCAAGAGAAGCAGGTACTGAGAAATTGAAAAATTCAAAAGAGAAGAATATGGATTAACATTGCAGCATCCAGATCTGCTCCATGTGGGACCCATGGGCTGCAGGGGGACAGCCTGCTCCACCAGGGGCGTCTCCACAGACCGCAGGGGAACTGCTGCTGCGTGCCTGGAGCACCTCCAGCCCTCCTTCTGCACTGACCTGGCTGTTTGCAGTGCTGGTTCTCTCACATTTTCTCAGTCCTCTCTTCCAGCCGCAGTTGCACAGCAAATTTTTCCCTTTCTTCAATCTGCTCTCCCAGAGGCCCAAGCAGCGTCACTCATGGCTCAGCTCTGGCCAGCAGTGGGTGTCTTTGGAGCAACTTGGGCTGGCTCTGATCTGAAATGGAGCAAGCACTGGGCTGTGCCTCACAGATGCCACCCCTAAATCCCCCTGGCTACCAAACTCTTGTCACATAAGCCCAATACAGTAGTCTCTGCAGGTACCTAAGCTGCAGAATAGTTTGGAATCCTTCATCTAAGAGAACTAACACATAAAAGGTGCAGTTGGAAAAAAAATGTACTTACTCAGGAATTAATATAAACTTTTGCTTAGCTTTTACTGAGACCCAAATCCCACTTAGGCGATTGCATTCAAAAAATCTATTTGCTTCTTCTTAATAAGGAGAGACTTGAGTACATATTAAAGTGCTTTTCCATATCTGGGCAATGGTTATAATATGTAGAATATAACCAGTAACTGGACTTCATGTCTGATTACAGTGTTTTTCAAAACTTTACCCACAAATGATTCACACTTTCCCAAGCACTGATAAAACCTTATGAACTGCAAAGTAATTAAAAGACTGAAACAAAAGGTAATGGAAGAACATATATCAAGTCTGGAAAGAGGCAGTAGCAAGACACAGCAGAGTTCACTCAGCATTACTTAAGATTTCCATTAGCTATCCATGGTGACAGATAAACAGCACTTACATTTGTAAATGATATTGTATCATTACAAATGCTAGTGAAAAGAGTGAAATACAATGCAATGGAGTCCTAAAATATCAGACTTCGGAACCCAATGCTGCTTGCTTTGCTTATGCAAAATTCCCATTAAAACAATAAGGTGTGCAGAATTTGGCTCCTGGATATAGGAAATAAAGAATCAAATCCAAAGCCCACTAAAGTCAATAGGAGACATTCTTCTGACCTCAATGGGCTTTGGATATCACCCAAAATTAGATTCATTCTGGAAAAAACGCAAGCTAAAGGAAATAATCATTCAAAAAGTATCTAGGAGAGAGATGTTTGGAAAACCTGGAAATCAAAGAATACCTAGGAGACTTTGTGTAACATATGATACGTGATATGAGTTTATGAACACTGTTACAAGATCATAGCTTTTCTAAAAGCTTAATAATCTAGAAATGAAGATGGATTATAAAATAGAGAAGAAAGCAACTCATTAGTCCAGTTAGAGAGCAGAAGTTACAGGGATATCACTTTTCAGTGCAGGCAGGTCATTTTGTATGCAATTTACAATACATCAACCATAAAATAAAAACACAACAATAAAGGGTGCGTGAGAAACCACTAATTTCTCAGCTCTCCTCCCATATACAAGTCTGGTAGTATTTACAAAGATGAAATATAAAAATAGTTTACATATAGGAATTTATGGTTAGACTTCAATACAAGATATTTTTTATCTGGTTCCCCTCTCCTTTTAATGATTAAGGTTAACAGAACTTCTTAAGGTTCCATCATTCCCATGATACATGAATATCTTGTGCCAAATTAAGGATGTCCTTTTTTCCCCTGTGGTGGAAGGATGCTCACTTTCATTCTTCTATATGTCTCCCTCCTGTCAGATGAAGAAAATTTCCAAGGATATAAAGATAAATCAGTAAAATGGCCTTTCTCTCAAGATCAAAGGTACACAACATGCACTACAAATTATCAACAATTATTTTCCTACACTGTCCTTGCTGAGAAATGGATATGAGGACATTTGTGAGCGCATCCTATGTAGCAGAAAATTGCTATAAAACAACCATAAAAGTAATTTATTTACATTTAGTCTTCTGCCGACAGAAGCACCTACCCTGTCTCCATTTATACAGTGAAAGAAGCTAAGAATAGTTTGCATAATGAATAACTGGATTGTATTGAAAAGCTATGGCAACCCAACTAACCCACTTACTGCAGTTCAGAGTGGCTTGGTCCTTTCTCTATCGCAGATGAGAAGAAAACTCTTCTTACACACAGAAAAAGGCATGTGGTTCAGTAAACAAGATTCATAGATTCATCAGGCTTTGTCATTTCCTGTTTCATCCATCTAGGCAATCTCTACACGTTTTTTTGCTTGTAGAACATACATAAGAGGCTAGATATTCCTGAATAAATACATTGGAATATATCATTGTATGATGATTATGATAAAGATGATAAAGCTCCAGTTCATTCTAGGATGTCTTTGGATTTGTACACTGGAGATTATGTGCTATTTACTACCATAATTTCTGGTTTAAATTTTTTATTTTCTCAGGTTTTAAAACCAGAATATGTTTTCAATTGTATGGCTGACCCTTCACATAAAAATGTTGGAAAACATTTTATTTTTAAATATTCATGCTTATGCTTCATATATTTTTCAGACCACTTCACTTTTAAAGCTCATGTGCTTTTGCTAGTAAATCATGGCTCAACATGACTATATCTCTTTCAAGAAGGCCCAATAGCATGAAATCCTGACTGACCCATTCCTAGGTTTTATTTGGAACTGATCTTCTGTGACATCACAAAAATTTCAGTGGAATCAAGTCACAAATAATGGATTAATCCACATGGTTTTAAAACATGAAGCTTGTAAAGAAAAATCCTCAACAATAACAATGTTTAAAGAGAGATTGTGAATAACATGATATACAAGAGAACATTTCTGAGTAGACCACTTTGCAAAATCTTTTTAATAAAGCTTCAGCAGGTTTGTTTAGGAAGTAGACCCCTATGCTCATCACCTAAATCCCCTTTGATTTTAAAACATTGATATTGGAATAATCAAATCTCTTGCCTGAAAGTTCAAGTTTCAATTAATAAGGATGTTAAGGATTATTTTTTTTCAGATACATGAAAAGAGTGACAGGATTATAGACCACCAAATTGTTGGTATTTTAAGAATCTGACAGGCTCAGCACCATGTGCCATTCTAGCCTCTCTGTGTATCCTTTGTGGTTAAAACTCTTAAGCACTTTAAATTCTTTTGGTCAGTATTTTTTTCCTTTTAGGGCAGACAACTAGAAACACATTCCAAGTAACCATTTATGGTGTACAGAAAATTATAAGATACTAAAATCACCTCTTTGAAGGTGTTTCCAGGCTTTGCATAGTAAAACAAATATTTTATTTATAAAAAAACAAACTTGTTGTTTTAAATCTAGAATATAATTATCTATGTTCCAATCCAAATGAAAGACAGTAGCAGCACAAAGACAGCAAAATAATACATGTCAAATCCTAGAGCCTTTACTTGGACAAATTTCCCATCAAGCTTTAGTGGCAGTTTTGCCTAATGAAATATGGCCGAGCCAGGCCTGAAATAGGCAAAAATATAACAAGCCATGCCAGTGGAATGAGCTTTGAAGCAATAAATGAAATACTTTTGGAATTTGAAAAATAATGACAATTCAGTGAATTATCAGTATAAAACCACAGGCAACAATATCTCGCAAATCCAGTAGAATGGGAGTCCTCAGATTCATTTATCTAGATACAATAGAGAACCAGAAAGATGTTTGCAGGAACAGATGACTTTCCAGAATATTTGATACAGGCTGAAAGAAATATGCAAACAAATTTTTCAAATCATCATGCTTTGGCAAACAAAATTGACTGTAACTTTGCATAACTTAGTTTACAAATGGCTCAGTCCTCTCATGTTTCTTCTTTTGCAATGAATAAGACAGAACTGTGGACTGGTCCTTTGCAGGAGACACATCTGGATGATGGGGCTTATGGTGGGGAAGAAGCCAGCATTTCTGTGCTGCAGCCAGGAAACGTACCAGCAAGCAGAGGTTCCTTGGAGCCCAACACCTCAGTAAGAACTGGTTGACATGTAGCCCAGCAGATCGTTCCACTCGACAGACCAGTGCACCAGGAGGCAGGAGATGAAAGGAGCTGCCAGCCAATGCAGCTGGTATGTCAGGTCACAGAGTAGGAGAAAGATTCTGGCACTGTGCTAGGAAAGTATGTAAGACATACCCTTATCTGTGGGGGTGCACTGATGCAAGAGCCAAATCTATGAGTCTCACACTCAATGCACGAAACTTAACAGCTCAGATGGATGGATAAAATCTGTATCGCTGTAGAAACTGCATAGGATGAAAGCTCTGCAGTTCTGCACAGGAATCTGGTTCTGCTCTGTACCATCTGTGCACCAATTGTGTGAATTGTCTGTTGAGCTTTGTTTGTTTGTTTTTTCGTTTGAGAAAGATATAGAAGTCAGTAAAAAGAATGTATTTCAGGTCAATTTAGCTCTTGAGCTATTCTTTTTGCCCTCATCAATGTTAATCATAGGTTCAAATTTCTTGTAAAATTTAAAAAGAAAATTCATACCTAATAAACAATTTCTGCAATTTATTTTATCTGAGAAGAAAACCTGTGTTCACACTACTGAAGGAAGAGGAACAAACATGAAAACACAAAATAGATAAGATTTGAGGTCTGATTTTCAACGCTAGATCCTTGCAGCTGACAGAATATTTCTATGTGCATGTAATACGTGCACAGTCTGTTTGAAACAATGTGTTAGTAAATACCTGGCATTTCCAGACCTTGATGTGGATGCTCCCATTAGGTGCAATTTCCACGGATTTCTCTGTGTATTCTTACCATATCCCTAAAAGCTACACTGAACAGTTCTTAGCAACAAGTAAATGCAAAAATATAAAATAATATTCATGTATAACATTAGTATTAAATATTTATATAATCATGCATGTTCTATGGAGCATCTAATAAACACATTTCAGAAAATGAATTAAAATCTTAATGTCCACAGACCCTCCTAACATGCTGTGGCACTCAGAGAGTGAAATCTGAGACTACTAAAAACAAATGGGAGCCTTGCTTAATCAGGGCTTTGCAGACTACTTAAGCCCAGGGGAAAACCCAAGAGGATACTTTGATGAAAATTAAGATTATAATGACATCAGGGTTAAAAAAGGTATTGCTCCTGTCTGCTTCTCCAGAAGGTTCTCTTGACTTACAGGACTTACATCACCTTATGCTCTCAATCAGCAGAAAGCAGCAGTGGAAGTGATGGACAAAGAATTGCATAAACATTGGTAAATGTCTTACAGGAATGTTTTTTAAAATCTTGATGTTCTTTTTTGGCTTCTGGGGTTTTGGCAAGAACTCCGATCTCTAGGCCCATTTCTGTGTACACACTTTAATGATGGGCTTGATTATGAGACAGTAATTCCCAAGAGGTTTAGCTATCTTATTTATTGACACGAACATGAGTACAATGCCAAAATCAAATGGTTATGTCCCAAACCAATGGAAAATCACAAATGCATAAACATGATGGATTCTTCATTTCTCAGGCTTCATTTATTTCTATTGTTTTCCACAGCATATAAACTTCATAATGAAACCAATACTCAACCTGGCCTTGCAAGAGATTATCTTCCACTGAACAACAAACAGCAGAAAAAATGTCATCCTACATCTGCCTGTGAGGGAATTACTTTGAGGTCCAGTTATATTTGTCCCAGTAACTCTGCCCACCAAGTGAGCCAGTTTCCCTCAAATGAGGATTTAAAGGAGGAACACAGATGTTGGCTCTGGGGTAAGCTAAAACAAGACTGCTAAAGAAAATTCTAGACAATTAGCAGTGTTGCAGACTACTTCAGGAGTGAACCTCAAAGGAAAACATGGCAATGGGTTTATAAAAGTGAAGTTACTGTCCTCCAATGTTCTCCTACAGACAATTCCTAATTTCCAGTGAAGTCAACAGGATTTGCAAGCACATAATATATCTCAGGACTAGACACTGTATTCAAAGCTCACCCTATCTCAATAGAATGCAGCCATTTCTGGGATGAGACTGTTTAACAGAGATAGGGCACAAAATGAAGCTGGACAGCAAAGCAGAATGTAGGCAAGGCAGAGTGCTTAGTGTTCAGTATTCTGGAATCACTTCTGATCACAAATCCTGTATCTCTTTAAGATTACTTAAGGACACAAAAATATATATTTAGGAATAGAACCAAGTCTCTGCTTTTTATAACTGAAAGGCAATATGAAGAAAACATCCTTGCCATCCTCTGTACTAAACTAGAGTCACTGAATTTGCAATTAAATGACCATTTTCTTCTTCATCTCTCTGATATGCTTAATGAGAATAATCCTCTCCCAAGAAAATTCAGTCTCCTGAAGCCTTCTCTCTTGCAGGAGAAAGTTGAGATGCTCCACAGCCCATAGCTCTACCATATATATTCTTTTAGTGGAATAAGACACGTTTCTAGATCAACAACTTAAGAAGCCAATGAAACATCTGTGTGCCAACATTAAAGTCTCTTCATCTGGGAGAATTCCATGCTTTCTACAAGGATGCCTCTCACAGGAAGATGGCCAAAATCTCAGATAAGAGTCTGTGGCAGAAATCTACAAGTTTTGATTGCTATTTACACTATTTCTGTTTTTGAATATATTGTAGTGCACATGCCTACATTCTTATGTGCTTTCATTTCTGTTTTATTAACTTCTGTGGTTTATTTTCCACATGATTTTCAGCCTATTATGAAATTATTAAATTATTTTCATTTTTA